TGACCAGATCACACACTAGAAGTTGAAGGGACGACGACGTTTCGGTCCGTCCTGGACCATTCTCAAGTCGATTGTGATCTTGTACCTGTCTAGGCAGTCACTGTTGGCATTGAGGCACATTCCTATGTTTGTTTCCTTAGTGTAGACTGCAGTGTGGAAACTTCCGCTCCTTTCCATGAATGTTACATCTAGAAAGGGCAGCTTCCCATCCTTCTCCATCTCGTAAGTGAAACGCAACACAGAATTCCACTCAAATGCCTCCTTCAACTTCTGCAGATGTCTGACATCAGGTACCTGTGTAAAAATGTCGTCAACATACCTGCAGTATATGGCCGGTTTCAAGTTCATGTCGACTAAGACCTTTCGTTCGATGGTACCCATGTAGAAGTTCGCAAACAGGACACCTAGGGGAGAACCCATGGCGACCCATGGGTTCTCCCATGGCGACCCATGGGTTCTCCAATGGGTCACCATGGGTTCCATGCTGATAAATGTAGAGTTTTGAGGCTGGGTAATGATGATAGAGTTACAAGATACGAGCTAGATGGTGTTGAGATTGCGAAGTCGGATTGCGAAAGGGATTTGGGAGTTATGATTAGTAAGAATTTAAAACAAAAGGATCAATGCATGAATGTTCGTAATAAGACAAATTGGACACTGGGATTTATTAATCGAAGTGTTAGTAACAAGACACCTGGTGTGGTTCTTCAGCTATATCTTGCTCTCGTTAGGCCCCATTTAGATTATGCAGTTCAGTTTTGGTCGCCGTACTCTAGAATGGATATAAATTCACTTGAATGTGTCCAGCATAGGACGACAAAGTTAATTCCCCAAATTAGAAGTCTTTCATATGAAGAAAGATTAATAAAGATTAATAAAGCTTAAATTGCATTCACTGGAAAGACGAAGAGTTAGAGGTGACATGATAGAAGTTTACAAGTGGATGAATGGACATAACAAATGGGATATTAATAGGGTATTAAAAGTATCAACTCAAGACAGAACACGAAACAATGGGTATATATTGGATAAGTTTAGATTTAGGAAAGACTTGGGTAAATACTGGTTCGGTAACAGGGTTGTTGAATTGTGGAACCAATTACCACGTAACGTGGTGGAGGTGGGGTCCCTCGATTGTTTCAAGTGCGGGTTGGACATGTATATGAGTGGGATTGGGTGGTTATAGATAGGAGCTGCCTCGTATGGGCCAATAGGCCTTCTGCAGTTACCTTTGTTCTTATGTTCTTATGTTCTTATGTTCATTCTCATTCTCTCTGACCAACATAAATTCCAAAGGGTAACGAAGGACACTACAGCCGAATTGAAGGCAAAGGTCAACAAATTGATCAAAACTGTGAACGCCAAGAAATCCGGACTCCACCTGCCAAAGATTATTGGGGAATATAAGCCTGGATACGCGTATGGAAATGTCAAGACACAAGCCTGGAAACCCACTTCGGCCAATCATTAGCCAGATACCCACACCCACGTACAGCCTGGCGAAGCGACTCAACGGCTTGCTGCCTCCTTATGTCCCTTGCACCTTCAGCCTGAAATCTCCAAAGGAATTTGTTGACTTACTGCGGGGAACACGGGCCACAGGGATAAGAGCCTCGTTGGACGTAGATCACTGTTTACCAACGTACCTGTGGATGAAACAATCGGGATGATAGCGGACAGAGTGTATCATGATCCGGCCTGTACTCCTCTTGACATACCAGAAAACATTCTAAGGAAACTACTCGAAGCTTGTACTAAAGAGGCACCCTTCTTGAGCCCGGATGGGCACATGTATAAGCAAGTAGATGGGGTCGCCATGGGTTCTTCCCTAGGTGTCCTGTTTGCGATCTTCTACATGGGTACCATCGAACAAAAGGTCTTAGTCGACATGAACTTGAAACCGGCCATATACTGCAGGTATGTTGATGACACTTTTACACAGGTACCTGATGTCAGACATCTGCAGAAGCTGAAGGAGGCATTTGAGCAGAATTCTGTGTTGCGTTTCACTTACGAGATGGAGAAGGGTCGGAAGCTGCCCTTTCTAGATGTAACAGTCATGGAAAGGAGCGGAGGTTTCTACACTGCAGTCTACACTAAGGAAACAAACATAGGAATGTGCCTCAATGCCAACAGTGATTGCCCAGACAGGTACAAGAGGAGTGTCGTTAACGCTTATGTCGACCGTGCTCTCAGCCACAGCTCAGGATGGAAGCAAGTCGATGAAGAACTCTGTAGGGTAAGGCAGGTCCTAGTCAACAACGGCTTCTCCAATGGTTTCGTTGAAGACATCATAAGAAGGAAGGTGAAACGCCATGCAACCTTTGAAGAGACAACTAACACAACACCTGTACCCCCTATTAGACTATTTTACAGGAACTTCTTTTCCACAGCTCATAAAACAGAGGAAAGGGTCCTGAAAGATATTGTTAATAGAAACGTTATCCCTACAGACAAAAATCAAAAGATACAATTGACGATTTACTATAAAACCAAAAAAACGCCCAGCCTACTCATGAGAAACTCTCCAGACACAAAGCAGAACGCTTTAAAAGAGACCAATGTCGTCTATGCCTTCAAATGCCCACTTGGGGACTGTAAGCCTCAAAGAATTCAGTATATAGGCAAGACAACAACATCTCTTTCCAGGCGTTTAACGATGCATAAGCAACAGGGCTCCATTAAGGAACATATAATCTCTTCCCACAACCAGACCATCACCAGAGAAGTCTTAACAAAAAACACGGAAATCATCGATAGATACAGCGATAGCAGGCGGCTAGATATCTGCGAGGCACTACACATTAAGAAGTCGACACCAGCAATCAACAGCCAATTAATACACAACTATATTCTACCCACTTCAAGACTCCGCTCCAATATAGAAGCATCAAGAAATATGGGCCAATAGGCCCTCTGCAATTACTTCCAATCAATACCCATTGTTTCGTGTTCTGTCTTGTGTTGAAAGTTTGTTTTCACCTCATCCAAAACTGTTGTAACATATCACCTCACCCAAATGCAGGTATAAAAAATCGAAGATGTTTAAGCTCTATTCAGTTATAGTTGTGTGTGTGTAAACTAAAGTCTTTGAAAATGTAATAAGTTTTACGAAACGCGCTCAAGTGTCGAGTCAGACTAGAAATAAAAATGAATTTTGGAGAATTGATTTTTCAATTACCGTCAACAGTGAAAGGTAACATAAGAAAGATCGAGAAAATTCGTGTTAGAATTATTAATCTTACTTTTTCGGTCATATTTAATGATATATGTCTATAGGAAAGACTGCTATCAAAATATACTAATGTATATATATATATATATATATATATATATATATATATATATATATATATATATATATATATATGCGAACAAGCCTGAATGGTCCCCAGGACTATATGCGATATATATATATATATATATATATTTATTATTTTCTGGTTTAGGGCTTCTATCCCTCTAACTATTTTCTTAGCATCAGGGCTTAGCTGAAATAGGAGTTCTCCAAAACTCATTTTCGTAATTTTAAGGTGAAAAAAAGAAGTGAATTACTATAGAATGTATTACACTTATTTATCCAATTTGCACAACGTTTCGAACGTCCATGGTTCATTCTCAAGTGAAGAGATTTTACAGGGCTGGTTTATTTTATATTTGCACTGGATCAGGTGATCAGATAATAAAGGTGAAAACATGGGGGGATACATAAGGGATAAATGTGGGGTGAAACATAAGAATAGAGGTAACTGCAGAAGGCTTATTGGCCCATACGAGGCAGCTTCTATCTAGATACAAAGATTAATCAAGTGTGATTGGCCTGTTATGTTGAACATTGTCTTCTGTGTTGGCATCGTTATGTTCTGGTCTTGTCCTTACTCTCATGGTGGGTAGAGTAAATAGTTCCGTGATTTGGATGTTCATGTTAGGTTGTTCTATTCTTATGTGAATTGCTTCAAGAATTTGTAATCTTCTTGCATCTTGGGTTTTGTCTATTATACAGGTATTTTTGTTCAACATTTCTCTTGTTAGGGTGATGTCATGGGCTTGTCTCATGTGATTCCTAGGGGCACCGGATTGAAGATGGCATGTCAAACGCCTCGTCACCTTGGTCGACGTCATACCTATGTACTTAGATTGAAGGTTACATCCTTCGTGGGGGCAAGTGTACATGTATACAACGTTTGACTGCTGTAGAGGGTTCTCCGTCGGCTTCGGGCTGTTTTTGATAAGGAGTTCGGAAGTCTTCTTGGTTTTGTAGAATATTATCAGGTTTATGTTTTGGTGAACATATAAAAGAGGAAAGAATAATGAAAGAAATAATCCGTAAAGGAGTAAAAAGCATTACTCCTAACCAAAATGTGGTTCTCCATTTTCCAAGTCTATCTTTCTATTGTTGAAGTCACCTATGGTTAACAGTTTAGATTCCGTCCTGAAGGCAATAGAAGCTGCTCTCTTTAATATGTTAATGATTGTCATGTTGTTCCTGTCATACTCATGTCTGGGTCTTGAGCCATGTAAGATCTTGCATTTTTTGATATTATTAAGTATTTGTGGTAGCATTTATGTAGAGTTGAAGACTACCTGGACTATAAAATTAGTTATGAAAACAAGGACGTGGTAGTAATGGATACAAAAATAAGGTATGTTAACCTTTATATGGACACAATTGAAAAAATAACAATAATATCACAGTAATAATAATAATATTATTGAGAAATTTCAGTTGAAGCAAAGTGAGAATACCCAGGTCACTGGTTCGAATTCCCACATTGCTCCAATTGATTTTTCATTAATATATATAAAAGTATTGCGATTTCCTTGTGTAAACATATTATTATCATTATTATTACTTTTATTATTATTATAAAAAAATATAACTGCAACAAAAGATGAGTGTTGCTAGATATATACGGTCGCCTTCCATGTAATTTAATGAAGCGAGAGTAATAACTTCCGGATTATTAAAAGTGTTACAAGCAGTACTTAGTTAAACTCACCAACATGTGTTCCATTGGGCACAAGGAAGGTGTAGAGACCACCTCGTCCCCGCTCATCCAACACAGTTAGACTTAGGGTGTGGCCGATGATGTCAATTGGGAAGAAAGGGCAATCCCAGCGGATGTCATCCTGGAGTGGCAGGGATATGTTTTGGACGTCCACAACACGACAAAGATTCCCATTATTTATTCGCATGTAGTCTTGGAAAAAGAATGTTATACCTGGAAGGTACGTAAAATATATTTAACTAATTTACATATTTATCTATATATATACAAGAAGGTAAATTTGGTTTATGAGAGTACATAGCATTGATTTTTTACATTGTTGCAAAGTCACTAACACGCATAGTGTTTCGAGCAGTTCCTTGATCTAACAGATAATTTTAAGTAGGTAATTTGTAGCAAAAATTGAAGACTTAACCAGTACATTGAAAAAAAATTAATAGGTACATTATAGTAAAATTTGAGGGTTATAAACAAGTGCATTGTAGCATAATATGAGGATTATTAATAGATACAAAAACAAGAGGAAGCTCTCAACAAAATGAATGTATCAGTACTTTAATCGCCCAACATTCTGTGTCCCAGGATGAACAAGACCAGCAAAAGTTGCTGGACTCTGTTATTATATCATCTTCAGACATCCCAGTGGAAAGTGAAGGTGAGAAGGATATCGCCATAGTACATGCTATCATAAAAGACCAACTGCACATTGAGGTCAGCAAAACAGACATAATTGCTGCCTACAGAATAGGCAAAAAGAATCTAGCAAGATTAACCCAAAGAAAAATTTGCCGCAAACTAACTACCCAGTCCCTAAAATCTGATTGTCCAGGCTGCTGTATTTTCTAAAAGGGGGATTTACATCAACGAGTGCTTGACTAGAAAAAGACAGGAACTCTTCTGCCGCCTGCGACAAATCCGGAATCAAAACCAAGATGTGATCCATCAATGCTTTGCGAGAGATGGAATGATATAAGTGAGGAAAACATCTACAGGTAAAATATTTACAAGTGCAAATGAGGATAACCTCAATGAATTCATGACCCAATGTACTTTGTCTCACCTGATAAACCATATCAAAGCCTCATCTTAATTAACCCTCATTGTCACCAAGTGCAGGCTAGGTAACCTAGGTTTCCTTGTTACCTTGGTGTCCTAGCCTCTCCATACTCCCTTGCTCCATTGTACCCCTGGCTTTGCCTGTGTCTCCTAGTGCAAATTATTACTTTCAGTGTACCTGAAAGCAAGCTACCTCATTTTTGTATAGTTTGTATATTTTTTATATCTAGAGCTTTTTTATAATTGCCTTTTTTGGCTTTTTTTTTACCATCAAACAACCCTCTTATGCAGACTTGTATAGTCCTAGAACTAAACCTCTTATCTAGTGTCTATGCCAATCATCACTTTAATGATCAAAATTACAGGTATTATTCAGCACATGATGTAAACAATTTATTAACACATAATTACAATGTTTCTGTAATTAACTTGAATGTAAGATCTCTAAGCAAACACTTTGATATAACAAAGGAGATATAACATTCTCCTTTGTTATACTTACTGAAACGTTGTTAAAAGAGGATGCTACACAACACTTTAATATACCAAACTACTCAGGAATTCACAACTGTCGACCAATTCAGAGAGGTGGTGGTAGTGCTCTTTACTACCACCAAGAACTGACATGCTTAAAAGTAATTAGAACTAGAGACTCTTGTGAAGATTATATCTTTGCCCGTTTCAGAGTCAAGGGTGCCGAGGCTGTCCTGACTGTGGGAGCAGTCTACAGAATTCCTGACACTGATGTGTATGAATTCAACTCTAACTTTAGAAATCTAATACTAGAGAACAGACTTAACAAAAACCAACTAATAATTTCGGGTGATTTTAATAATGACCTCTGTGAGGCTGATAACCCTCATGATGCTAATTTCCTCAACTGTATGAATTTCTACTTCCTCATACCCTTAATCACTAGACCTACTAGAATCACTGATACGACTCCCTCTGCGCTTGACCACATCTGGACTAACATAATCTCTCCACTTAATTCAGGGATAAACACTAACAGGACTACAGACCATTACCCCATGTTTCTCCTAACCAACATTAATAAACCACCTCTAGATACAAGGAAGATAAGCTTTAGGCTGCACAATGAAACTTATATAAGAAACTTTATTGTTGCTGCTGCTAATATCAACTGGGAGACTGAATTAGGTAACATAGTGAACATCAACCTAACAGTGCAAACATTTTTTCAGAAAAATCTAAGCCTCCACTATCCAATGCTAACGAAACAAGTCACAACTAAAAGGTTAAGCAATCCATGGCATACAAATGGTATACTTAAATCTATTAATAAAAAAACATGACCATGAGAATCAGTATAGGTTAGGAGTTGTCTCCATAGAAGTTTCAAAGATTTACTCATCAGTGCTGTCTAAAATAATTCGGAGAGCTAAATAAAATACTATGAAAATAAATTGAACCAAATTAAGGGTAACATTTAGAAAACATGGAGTGCTATTTTCCAAATATTAGGATCAAAAAAGATTTTGAATAAAAAGTAAGTATATAAATATCAAAAGAAGGCACCAAACCGGGAAGGCTATGTAGCACCACCAAATGTGTGATCAGTAATCAAAGGACGTTAAATATTACCAAGGATGCCAATACAAAAACAGAAGCTCATAAGGTGAATGATATCAAAAGTATCAAATTCACCAAGGATTCTATCGAGGGACAATTGATCACGAGGGACGGTCGGAAAGCAAGACAAACGCTCGTTCTGGAAGTCAGGACATTCAACAAGAATGTGTATGACTGTAAGAGGAACAATGAAATTTGGACAATAAGGAGCAGGGCGGCACTCCATTAAGTGAATGTGCGTTAAACGTGTATGGACAATACGTAACCTAGTCAGAGCCGTTTCCCACCGCCGGTTATGGTGGTAGGAAGAAGGCCACAGGGACACACGACCCTTAAGAGTACGCAGTTTGTTACCAATAACAGAAGACCAGCAACCCTTCCAATGGGCAAGGATGGAGGAATGAATAACTGGGTAAAAGTCGGAATACGGAATACCTTTATGGGAGATGAGACAAGTACGGATAGCTTCCTTAGCGGCAGCATCCGCATGCACATTTAAAGAGACGCCAACATGGCTGGGAACCCAGCAAAAGTCTACCGACTTAAATTTACTGGAGATCAGAAACAGCCAATGTTGAATCTCAATGACCACCGGGTGCACCGGATTAAAGGACCCTAAAGCCATGAGGGTACTACGAGAGCCAACTACCACCACAAAGGAGGATTGACAACAAGAAAGCAGGAGACGAAGAGCATAGAGAATAGCATTAAGTTCTGCTGTGAAGATACTAGTCTCTAGAGGGAGGCGACACATATAAGTATGGTCAGGAAAAACAACAGAGTAGCCCACACCGTCAGCAGACTTAGACCCATCGGTGAAGAGGGAAACGGAGTGGTCGTGTGAAGAAAAGTGTTCAAGGAAAAGGCATTTCAGGACCGTAGGAGGGGTAAAAGCTTTAGTGATGCAGGTCAGGGAAGTACAAAATTTGGGAAAGGGGACCCTCCACGGGGGCAAGGATGGACCAATACGAGGAGAAACATTAGTAAGACGAACCAAAAGAGACTCTTGTAAGCGAGACAAACGGACAAAAAGAGGAAAGTGGTGAAGAGGAACATGAACCACAGGAGGGGTAAAAGTCAAAGCACGACAGAGGCGAGAGTGAGGATGTTGTAAGGACCGCGCAAAATAGCGATGACAGTAGCGATAATAGTAATATTATTATTATTGGAGAGAGAGGAAGCCAGTGTCAACGTACAAACTGAGAGTAGGAGTGGAATGAAAGGCACCAGAGCCAGAGCCGAGGCACAACCCAGTATGGTGCAAAGGATCAAGACGGTGAAGAGTAGAAGGAGAAGCAGAACATTATGAAGGGAAACCACAATCGAGTTTAGACAGGACGAGAGAGGAATGCAAATAGATGAGCGTGCACCTATCCCTACCCAAAGAAGTATGGGACAAAACCTTAAGGAGGTTAAGGGCCTTAGAGCATTCAACTCGGAGGTAAGAGATATGGGGCGACCAGGACAAACGAGTGTCAAAGAATAATCCTAAAAGCTTCGTGGAATCTTTGTACACAAGGAGATGACCATAAAGCGACAAAGAGAGACAAAGAACGACCCGCTTCCGAGTTAAAGTCATAGCACAAATTTTGGTTGGAGAGAACTTGAAGCCATGATTGGTGGCACAAGATGACACGGCATCAATCGCAAGTTGAAGCCGCCGTTGAAGGAGAGGCGAATCATCACCTCGACGGCAAAGAATAAGATCATCAACATAAAGAGCGGAGAAGATACCAGAAGGGAGGGAGGAAAGAAGACCATTGAGGGCAACCAGAAAAAGAGTAGTGCTCAGAATACTACCTTGGGGCACACCTTCGTACTGCCGAAGAGAGGCAGAGAGAGTGTGGCACCAAGCCTGACTCTAAAGGAACGATGAGAGAGGAAGCTTTGGAGGAAGAGAGGGAGATTACCACGAAGGCCAAAAGAACGAAGTTGGGACAGAATATGGTATCTCCATGCCATGCCATAAGTCTTTTCCAGGTCAAATTGGACAGCAACAATGGAGGTCTTCGCAGCAAAAGCAGTACGTATATAGACCTCCAAGTTCACCAGGACATCAGTCGTGCTGCAGCTCTTGCGAAAACCAAATTGAGAAGGAGAGAGGTGGCGATGGTGTTCCAAGAACCACATCAGACAAATATTTACCATATGCTCAAAGAGTTTGCAGACACAACTCATGAGGGCAATAGGGCGGAAGTCCATAGGGGAAGTACCGAGAGACCCTGGTTTCCGAATAGGGAGTATAACGGCATCGAGCCAGTCCTCAGGAACTGATGACGACTCCCAGACCTGGTTATACAGACTCAGTAAACACTGAGATGTATACGGAGGGAGATAGTAAAGCATCTCATATTGAATGTCATCCGAGCCTGCTGCCATAGATCCGCAGAGGGCCAGGGCAAACTGAAGTTCAGAAAGAGAGATAGGATCGCTATAAGGAAAACGGAGATGAGTGTGGAAATCTAAGGGATGAGATTCAAGAACAGGCTTACAAAGAAGGAAGGATTGACGAAGATGAGAACCAGAGCTAATAGTAGAAAAGTGGGAACCCAGTTAGGTTGCGA